CTACAAAGCGGCTTGAAGGCAGCATGGTCGTCGATAGAATGACGGTCAAATAAGCGGAAAAAGGCGAATCTTCTTAAGGACCTGGGGTCATCACAGCGAGAAAGGCAACATGCCATACGAGAGGTTCAACTTGAAAAGAAAGTCTGAGGTAAGTTATGACCACATTCCTGGTCAACTTGAACAATTGGGGTCTTGGTCCAAGAATAGATGGCAGTGTTTTCTAAATTATATTAAAATGAAGCAACTGTTTCTTAAAGGTTGGTAAACTGATTATTCAATTCAGGATTATACTTTTTAAATTACGATCTCACAAGAGAGGCAAGAAATCCATTGACTTATGGAGAGACTATGTTAACGTTTGAGCTGTACCAAAATTAGTTATTGAAAGATCAACGGAAAACTGGCTAGTGTATTGTTTATCTTGAAAGGCTCTCCAGCGCAAGCGTCCTCTGTGCATGGACTCATATAGAACACTACTCCTCTGTGCGAGGTGCACGGTAATCCAGTGCAGCTTGGTAGATGTAGTTGAAACACCAGATGTTTCGCAACTTGTGCTCGAGACGCTAAAACAGCTTCTGCTTCTAACCGGTCCCAAACTGATGGCACATATAGCGACCCAAAGGTCGAAAGCGGTTATCAAGCACCTAGAGAACTTTGCTAGTTAAGAAAAAAGTTGCTGTTATTTGCTGGTCAGACACCTACAGGGTTGCCTCAACCAGGCGTCTGTGGGAACCTAGACCGACTATTGTAGTGAGATCGCTACCGCTAACCTTTACAGTAATCAATCTCTAGGGAAAAGAGAATAAATTTTGTCAACTCGAACATACCCCAGAAGGAGCACCAGCTCATCACGACGTGGTATCCCAGCAAGGAGGCCGTGCGAGGAAATGCGACTAAGCCCAGCTTTATGAGAGTTGAAGCGACAGTGTTTGCACCGCTTAACTAAGAATACTGTGTTCGATCGAAATTTTTTGACCCATCAAGAGCGGCAAATAATTAGTGAACATCGTCCAACAATCACCTCCGGCGGTTCAGGCAAAATCCAGTCCAAAAGTGCTCTCCATGGTTTCAGTACAATGGCAACTCGCGCTGAAATATTTACGTACATCAAGCCTCTTCGATGATGCGGTGAATGTTAATAAAAGTTTTGTGCCGCCGGGATCAATTCGAATGCGAGGGATGTCTTTGAGCTTACCGGAGGCAATGAAAGAAATTGATCTTCTTGCTACATAGCAGCACCGTGATACTCGCAGATATCACATATACGGCAGTGTGACAACCCCTCGCCCTTTGTAATACCAGCGTTTCTCGGTCAAGAAGCGCCATGAGTCGAGCTCGCACGCAGCGTAGACCGACAAAGCCGTCGGGGAAATCATCTTATAGGCGTAAAGCTCCCTGCTAGGAAATAATTGGGCACTATTGTACTTTGCAACGGCCGATAGTAGTTCGAAAAGGAGCGACTCCTCCGAAAAAGTGCGGCATACAGCTCAGTGATGTTGTCAACCGATCGGGCTTTATGATCAGCCTCAATGTTGTGAGGGCGTCATGTATATCGTAAAATGAAGGACTGTAGGCAGTACAAAAAGGCATTGGTAATGTTGAAGATATAATTGTGTGTCTTGTGAAGGGGTTACATATTACAATGTCGAGAGTTCTGCTTAACTTTTTGTACTTAAGAAATGACAACTTTGGGCAGGGTTTTTGACACGATTTACAGCATGACTTAAGCGTCATGAGTCTGGAAGCAGAAAGTGGGTGTAAGGCACAATTCCTCGAAGCAACTTGGTGACTTATAAATTTTTGGCTCCAAAGATACAGAGCACTTTTTGCCAGGGTTTATATGCATGATAACTCATAGCTGTCGGCTGTCCTGCTCACCCTCTTGTGCTTGCTGGTACTGCTACCGATTGAATTAAAAACTTGGAACAAGATTCGGTCCCACTACCTAGTATGAAGCTTTTGTGCTAGGCGACTCTACCTCTTCATCCGACCAGACAAAGATAGAGGATGTACCAAGTCGCAGGCCGCAGAAGCTCCCGATCATACTTGCCAACGAGGGATATCAATCTCAGCCTTTCATACAAGGGTATGTGTAACCCCGAAAAATATTGGCGGATATCCCTTCTGCCACACTCGATATCGGTTATACATTTGACGAACCCGCCGGCTCGCTTCATTTTAAGTTGGCCACACCCCATCATCTAAACCCTAGAAGCTCTTAACCGGTGGTCTTTCTGACTGAAAGGCTAGTTGTCTCCTCCTTGTGAGAAGCGCGTTGCGACAAGTAACCCTGATACTTCTCAAAGATGATAAAGGCCGAGGGCGCGCCAGGTCATAGAAAGTAGTTTCATAGTAATCGTTCCAGAAGAAAAGTAAGACTCTTAAAATTTCCGGACTGTTGATTACCCTTCGTAAATACTTGGATCCGACTTGGTGTAGCCACCGTTACAGTAAACGCTTCATGAATAAGGGGCTACCGCTAGGTCAGCTAGCAGTGCCGACATAGCCGACCTTACCGCAAGTGGCTTTCGTGACGGCTGTGATGACGTGTCGACTCATCGCGAGATTTACGGAGTGCGTTCGGGGTAGAGATCAAAAAGTTCGGATTTGCTATCTAAGTTTTACCATGGCACTGCCTGACTTAAGGTGCCTCCAGAGGTGCAGAGCAGCAGCTCTGCTCTCAAGTAGAATATAGCTTAGCCACAAAAAAATGTGATGAAGTTGATTCGTCTGCATCGTCCAAGTGGCTCGTTTGAGCGGGATTATAGTTTGACTTTAGTAGGCCCACATGAAAACTTGGTGTCCTCACCTTTGCTTTGAAAGGAAAGTACTGGTCAACGCTGAATTGCTACGACCGTGGGCGGTCCATACGGCGCGGTCGTGACTTGGTCTTACAGATTGCAGACACTTTATGAGTGAGGAGAATTGTTTGGAACGATGCATTTGTCTGTTGCTCTCAGCCGTAGTGTAGCAAACCTTGCGTAGAACGCTTAATTTCATCAAGATGGTTATACTGCTTTTGCAATGAAGTGTATCCATTTATTAGCAGCAAGCCGATTTTAATTTATCGCGCTATGTCCGGAAACGCTTTATATTGGTATCAAAGTCTTCCTGGTTTCGCAACTTCTTTAT